GGATACAGCATTGCATTGTGGGAAATATAACCATTATATATCAAGTAAAATCTAAATAATCTTTATCAGCTTTAGTTGAAAACTGTATCTTCTGTATTCTGTTCTGCAGTTTCACTCACCTTCTACATCCTCTGGTTTCAGTAATATATCGATTATTAGCACCATCAGTTAACACGGTGTGTCTGTGAGAGAGCTCCCTGTCTCTGAGCTGGACAACTCATACTTACCTGGCAGGGGAGATACCATGATCAAGAAGGTGGTTCACCTTGGGCGAGGCCTGACCATTGCACTCCGGTTGGGTTGACCTCAACGAATTCCCCAAATGTGGGAATCTCGACTGCATAATTTGTGGTAGTGGGGGACTGCGTTCGCGCTGACCCCTGATATACATGTTGAAAAGAAATCATTTATAAACCTTTAGACTCACACAGACTTTATTTATCATTTGGATTTGCATCAGAATGAAATTACGTTGCAGTGGCACATAGCACAACAGGATTAAAGGAGAGGCATTATGCACAGGCTAAAAAACAGATATGCAAATATAAAACTTTTGTATATTTTTTATTTTTGATGAGACAGAAAGTGCTCATAATCAATCAATGATCAAACTGATCACTATAAATTACAATCAATCAACACGACCAACTCTTATTTCTTACCTTGTTGTTCCAGCTTCCAAAAAATATGATAAAAGTTAAAATCTTATAGTTGTTCTTTTGCTGGGACCCCTACAGTCCACTCAAGCCCCTGACTGACACTAACCACTGACACTATTAACCAACACACACAGTGCTGACCCACTCAGGTTCCTGCACAGGAGATCCAGTTCACATTAAATGACTGACTGCTTGAACCAACAGCGACTCTGAGTAAGACAATGTGTTGTTTTATATCGTTTGTTTACTGTAAACACTCCTCAATGGTCAACAACATCAAACCTCGAGGGTGTGCGGCTTTATTCTGTCGTCTAATGACAGCTTGTATATATACTGCCACCACCGATAATGCACAGTTTATTCTGCTTTACAGTTTTTTTTACGATTGTTTACACACTAAAATAAAAATTCCCACATAATTTGCGAAATTCTACTCCGAGGAGCAAAACACCTCCACAGATTTGCACAACATTACACACAATGTCTGCTTCACCCTTTTTGCTAAACACTACACACAGTGATTTGTAAAACTCTACACACATTTTCACACCTTAGACACAGATAAGGATTGTGAGGTTGCTTCCTCGTCATTACAAAGCCCCGGACTGCCAATGAACACACTAATGAACAAACTGGATAATCACATCCACCAGGTGTGGAAGCACACATGTGCTAATTTGAAAACGCAGCACTCAGCCAGACGGAGAGATGATGAATAGTTACAGTATTCTTGTTGCTTTTACAGTAGTTTTTCTTCAGAGTCAAAGTGTGTGTACTTCATGCAGTAATTTTTATTTGTCTACAGATTTTATTTGTTTCATTGATTTCATTGTTGGTTGATTACTGTAACTGATTATGGTAAGAAATACTGTAAGTATTGAAATAAATACTTGAAATATTCAGTCTGCAGCATCAGTGTTGTGCAGTGCTTGGTAAGTTTATAGTAGGCCTATTTGTGTACATTCTCCCTATATCTCTAACTAATCATGAAGAATGTTGTGGGTCTGTCACTATTTTTTATGACATCTAAATTATCCCTTACATAACAAAGTCTGGCCAAAAATCTAGCACATGCTATTTCCTAAAATGTGTTTTTTATTCATCACAGCAGTGTGAAACTGGCTGCAATAGTGTCTGATCATTGAGGACTGTGTTGGTTAAATGGAAACTAATAGCATTTTCACAAATATGTGTATGTGTTTTGACTGAAGTGTGTCATTTTGCAAACAATCTAGGAATTATGCAAATTGAGTGTGGTGTTTGGATAATTGTGATTATATTTTGAAAAAAAGAACCCGGTTTTCAAAATTGCATGTAAACAATTGAAAAAAACTGTAAAACCTTTATAAAACTCCCATTCCTTTCACCAACCAGGTGTAAAGGGTTCAATGTAGTTCATATGGTGGAAGTCGAGTTTAATTAACGACCTTATTCTCCTTACAAATTCATTAGTTGAAGAGTTGAGTTCTGTGGGCTGAAGATGACACAAGCTGCCACTCATACAAATTATATTTATTATATGTATTTATTATTTTGATAAATACAGATTACAGATAAAGTCACAAACAGTTCAGAGCAGATCGATCGCGTCTCCACCCGAACATGGAGCAGTTTGTAAATAAAAGTTAATTACATTATATTAATATTATAAACACATGTATATGTAAGTTAGGTATTCAACAAAACCCACATTTAATAAAAAGAATAAGTAATAAATAACAGTTTCCCTCCGTCACTTCAGAGCCAATCACAGCGCGAGTTAGTGAGACAACAGCACCGTCAGTCAGTGTGGTGTGTCTGTGAGAGAGCTCCCTGTCTCTGAGCTGGACAACTCATACTTACCTGGCAGGGGAGATACCGTGATCAAGAAGGTGGCTCACCTTGGGCGAGGCCTGACCATTGCACTGGCTAGTGGACTGTGCAGTATGGACAGCAGCAGCAGCCTGTTTAGAGCAGACAGCGGATGCAGGCAGTTTAGTCTGAACAGGGGTCTTGACCAAGTCTAAAAAACAAGACCAAACAAAGTAGTACTATTTATTTTGTGATTTTTTTTTTCCCCAAACCATTTGATGTGTATTAACTCTGTATCTCACCTTCCACAGCCTGACTTGCAGCCACCAGTTCAGCTTCATCACCTGGCCATGATGAAGGATCACACTTGGAGGTGCTGGCATGCAGTTGCTGGAATAAAAAGATAAATTGATTATCTAGACTCTTTCATGACTAAATGCTTGTCTGAGGATTAGGGCTTCAGGAGGATTAGCATCATGCTATGGGGATGTTTTTCAGCTGCAGGGACAGGACGACTGGTTGCAATTGAAGGAAAGATGAATGAAGTACAGAGATATCCTGGAAGAAAACCTCTTCCACAGTGCTCAGGACCTCAGACTGGGCCGAAGGTTCACCTTCCAACAAGACAATAACCCTAAGCACACAGCTAAAATAACAAAGGAGTGGCTTCGGAACAACTCTGTGACCATTCTTGACTGGCCCAGCCAGAGCCCTGACCTAAACCCAACTGAGCATCTCTGGAGAGATCTGAAAATGGCTGTCCACCAACGTTCACCATCCAACCTGACAGAACTGGAGAGGATCTGCAAGGAAGAATGGCAGAGGATCCCCAAATCCAGGTGTGAAAAACCTGTTGCATCATTCCCAAGAAGACTCATGGCTGTAGTAGCTCAAAAGGGTGCTTCTACTCAATACTGAGCAAAGGGTCTGAATACTTATGACCATGTGATATTTCAGGTTTTCTTTTTTAATAAATTTGCAAAGATTTCTACATTTCTGTTTTTTCCTGTCAAGATGGGGTGCTGAGTGTACATTAATGAGAAATAAAATGAACTTTTTTGATTTTAGCAAATGGCTGCAATGAAACAAAGTGAAACATTTAAAGGGGTCTGAATACTTTCCGTACCCACTGTATATGTAAATATTATGGCATGCCGTTTAGGAAATTAACCTTGAATATATGGAATAAATCTTTGAATATATAAAATGAATCTTTGAATATATAAAATGAATCTTTGAATATATAAAATGAATCTTTGAATATATGGAATGAATCTTGGATATACTGATAAAAATGTGAGAATACTGAATGAAATCCAAACCTAGTTGTATCCTTTTCATCAAAGTGATAGCCTTCTGAATAAGCTGGTTTTATAAAATGGCATCAGTTGAAATATTACAATACTTTCTTAAACTGGAAAACTTTTTTGCTTTTTCTGTCAGGATTTAGCCTGAGGCCTGTTGTAGTCGGCCTGCCACCATTAAAAAGGGAGTGAACTTCTTCGTCAGGAGAACGGTATTGGGCACGGGTACTATCGAGAGGATTTTGGCCCCTACAAGCACTTACCAATGAGTTAATAATGTCCTCATTGATCAGTATTGCTGCCACAAGGTTCCTGACTGACTCATTCTCACTTCTACAAGATGACAGCAGTGCCTTGATGACCAGTCAAGTTTCATTCAATATATTAAAAGATTCATTTTATATATTCAAAGATTAATTTCTTAAACGGTATGCCATAATATATATACTATATTGTCCTTGTCACAGATTTCATTGAAAACACCTTTGCAACTTCATCAGCTGTGTTTTGTAATCTCAATTACTGCAATAAACACATATTTATGCAGTTTGACAAGCAGTCTTCATTAGCATGGCAATATAACACTTGTCCTGAGTAATAATACTTCCACTTGAATCAATATAAAAAGACTGTTGCAATTACAAACAGCCAACAGATTTAAATGAAATAAGAAATGTAATATATATGTAATGTTTGAATGCAGGATAATTAAAATGATGCAACATACTTAGAAAGACCTTGGACATGCTGTAAAACACATTAATTCCTCACAGGACTGACGGTGGAAATACAGGTGAATCACCTGGATTAATGTTAGCCTGGCTGTTAGTCTGGTCTGGAGCAGGCTAACTGCAGAGAATAAATCACCATAGTAACTTGGCCGGGATAAGTTTAACCTGCTTTCATGCAACCGACTTGAGGCTAAATCCAGCCAGGATAACCAACATATCCCGGGTTAATCCCTTATCCTGGTTTTGTGCAATACCCCTCTGTACTGTATGCTCTCCGGAGGAAAATACTAATCTGCATAAAGTAACCGAGCGTAGACTCTGGGCCAATCAGAAGCCGTAACTGTCTACGGACAGTCACATGACGCCGGGAGACGATATGATTGGTAGTCTACGGTCAGAATTGACCAACCAGAAGGCGGAACCGTCTACGGTGAGCGTAGACTTTTGCATTGAGCCGCAGGGTGCAGTTCTCTCTGTTCTCCTTTAGAGGAAGTTAACAGATCAAACATTGTGTTTTACTCTCAGAGAGGACTTTTATAGGATTTAAACTTTATTATTATTATTATTGTATTTGTCTCGACTGTGTTCACGTTGTTCCGTCGGGCTGTGAACCGTCAGTGAGGGTCCCGGTGCGGAGAAAGAGGTCCGTACCTCCGACTGTAGTTCAGTATCGCTTCTCGGCCTTTTGGCTAAGATCAAGTGTAGTATCTGTTCTTATCAGTTTAATATCTGATACGTCCCCTACCCGGGGACCATATATTAAATTGATTTTTGGAACTGGGAGATGGAATAGGGGCTTGCTCCGTCCACTCCACGCATCGACCTGGTATTGCAGTACTTCCAGGACCGGTGCACCCCCCCCTCTGATTGTCTAACATCAATAATCGATATTATAAAGGTTGTAGTGAGTTAATAGTAGAGTAGTATCTTGTACAGACTCTGTATGTTGTTGTTAGATTAAACGTTTTAAGAGCATGAGGCTGCAGAGTGGAGACATATTGTTTGCAACTGTTCAGTTAAATGAACAATAAACTTTTGAGTGAGACAAAGAGATTGTAAATGTAAATGTGTTGTGTTCACTGTCCTTTACACATTGAACAGAAATGTTCAAATATACATTTATTAAGTCCTCATACCGACTGACTGCATTCACTTTAGTTTACAGAGGTTTGCTTCTTTCAATTCATTTATTTAAATGTTATTGAAATAGTTTAGTTTTTATTAGTTTCAGTATTAGCTTTAGTTTTTTTTAAACTATAATATAAGTTAGAATATATTACAATACAAACACAACACTTAGTGAACACAGTCATGTAGACATCCCATTATCAATAAACAGGCACCAACGCCTCTTTATGCTCGTTGTGTTGTCAAATTTGACCAAATTGAGACAAAAAACTGAAAACATTTCCTACTTTTCTTTCAGATTTTGTAAGTACAAAAGGTTTTTTCAGTTCAAGTCTGATTTTATTTGAACTAACATATTGTTTCACAACTGGTTTTACTCTTAGTTTGATATAGATGTACAATAATTGGCGACATTATCAGGTCCACCTAGCTGACTCTCTGGGGCAGAAAGGGGTGCAGGTCAGAGTCCTGCAGGTCAGAGTCCTGCAAGCAGAGAAGGCGGTGGCTGAATACAACAATCTGGTTGTGCAGGCCGGGCGCCAAGGTGGGCCGGGCCTTCCACGGTACCTGCAGATGATGTGATCATTTGTTTTGTTTTCCACAGGAAGACGGTGGAAGGGGCTCCTATTTATAATATAGATACAAGTGCAGGCAAAATACAAACAACTTGGATCAAGACACATTTTAAGATTGATTGATTGTTTTTCAGCTTCTTAAATGTGAATATTTTCTGAATTCTTTAGTCCTCTACAGTTTACAGTGATCGTTACTCAAAATAAATAGTTTATTATTATTTTCAAAAGTAATTTTATTACTTTACTTATTCTTCCCTGCCTACAGTAATTAGTTACACCACTAGTTATTTTACTATTCTGCTCCCACAAAATTGGCCCCTTTCTCACCAAAATTCAGACTTAAGACAATTAAAATCCAGTTTAGTTTGTTAAAAATCAAAGTAATGTTAATGTTTACATCTTCCAAGCTAGTTTCCTCCACAATTACCAAAATGAATCCAAGGATGTGATTTGATTGTTGGATTTAAAATCAGTAAGGAGTGCCAACAAAAGTAATGTTGTAACTAATTATTGTTTGTGGTAATTGTAATATTACTGAAATGTATTAGTAATAAGTTACACTACTAGTTACTGGGGAAAGTAATGTTATTACTAGTAATACCTCACTGCGCAACACTAGTCCTCTATGACCATAAAGTAAATAGTTTTGGGTTGTGGACAAAAGTCAATTAATCAATTATTTGTCAACTATTACATTCAACAGGAACCAGTTCGATTATTGATTAATAGTTTTGATTTAGTTTTTATGTCCAAATTCTCTCACTTCAGTTAATGAGAGTAAAATAAATATCTTTAAATTTCGGACAAAACAAGACATTTGTGGACATATATAGGATATTTTATGGATCAAACACCTAATCAATTAAATGAGAAAATGATCAGATTAATCAATAATAATAAAAAATAATCATTAGCAGTATCCAGTATTTTAATTTTAATAGATTTATTTTAGGGGTATTTTGTTTCAAGATACATTACGTAACCTCTGCACACGACCCTGAGCTACCTGGCGGTCTCACTGAGGGCCGTGTGCAGCTCATTTGCATAACACCACCTGGACGTCACGATGATGGACTAACAAGGACCTGGAGATGTACTTTTATCTGGATTTAAAGAAGTGTTTTGGGCGTCAGGACGTCTTCAGGGTATGTTGATATATTTTTTGGTCATGTTATGTGTCTCGTGTCAACAGAACAGAGCCTCTGCAGGAGTTTGGCGGTAGTTTGGTGGTGGTGACCCACTTGTTTTTAGCCTCAGGTGTTAAATTGGTTCAATTGGAAGTGGAAGAGCTTGTGCAAATGCAGTTAAATGATTAATGCGCACTTTATTATCGAGTATTTTAAGTGTTTTGGCTCAGTTGCATTTTAATTACAGATGAAAGCTCAATGGGGCCGCATCCCGTTTGGTTTTTTCTAGTAGTTAATGTCGCATTAAGGGCCTGGCTGCACTTTTACCTGGTTAGGAAAACTTAATACTTAATCGTATATGTCGTATACGGACAATAATGATGTATTTCAAGAGAATTTGAGTACTTTTAATAAAGCTTTTTAGTTAATTGGACGGGAAATATGCTTCACAGAGCTGCTGTTATCTGTACAACCCAATGGGGGGCGCTGCAGTCCAGCGGGTCGTCATTAAAACAACTGACGGAGATTAAAAACACATTATTTAGTTGTGTAAATTACATTGCACAGATAACACATAATATTAACGTAGCTGGAGAATTATTTTGGAGTTGGAGTCAACCAGAAATGTTTTAAATTGACCAATAAAAGCTGAGAAAATGCAGTTTAATACAACAATACTGTACTAAAAACCGGCTGGATGAAGGTTATAATGTTCGGTTAGTGTTGAAACAGTTTTAGAGAGGTGATTATTCAACTGTATGATCATTTTAGAGGCTGCAGTTTGTGTTGCTGTTGAACTTTATTGTGAAAATCCTGATTCACTCCAGACCAGCAGGTGGCAGTAACAGGACGGCCCCGTTGCCCGGGAGACAAAGAAACAGGAAGTGGTTGTAAAGTGTGGGAGAAAAAGTGTTTTTAGTGTTTTTAGTTGTTTTTTTCTGGATTGTAAATGTGGATCAAACAGCCTCTGATTGCAGTTTGATTCAGCTTTGTCTCACTTGAACTTGTTGTTGGACTGTTGTTCATTTGTTGGAGGTAAAATAGAAACAAACTGCTGATTTCAGGTTAGCTGTTGATGTGGGGATACAGCATTGCATTGTGGGAAGAAGAAACAAACTGCCGTTATAATGTCATTTAAAGCGAATTCACATCAAATATTTCCAACTGATTATTATTTTAAATCTTTCTAAAAGATAATTCTGTCCAAAGTGCTTCCTGCTTCGTCAGTTGAGATAGTGTAACGTTAGTTGTCAACAGCACCGTCAGTCAGTGTGGTGTGTCTGTGAGAGAGCTCCCTGTCTCTGAGCTGGACAACTCATACTTACCTGGCAGGGGAGATACCATGATCAAGAAGGTGGTTCACCTTGGGCGAGGCCTGACCATTGCACTCCGGTTGGGTTGACCTCAACGAATTCCCCAAATGTGGGAATCTCGACTGCATAATTTGTGGTAGTGGGGGACTGCGTTCGCGCTGACCCCTGATATACATGTTCAATAATAAACTCTGGAGGAGAGAAGTTCCTTTAATAGTGTTGTAACCGTTAGGAACAGGAAGGAAGCTCCATTTGTAAACTAACGTTACATGATGTTATTGTGGAGTCGTTGTATCCGGACAAAGAGTCAGCAGTTGATGATGATGATGATGAAGATGTGGACGATATTCAGCCGCAGGGTGCAGTTCTCTCTGTTCTCCATTAGAGGGAGTTAACAGATCAGACATTGTGTTTTACTCTCAGAGAGGACTTTTATAGGATTTAAACTTTATTTTATCGCTGTATGATTCATATGATGTTAGTTTGATTTAAAATAGAAGTTACAGCTCTCTTTCTGACAATAACACAGCGGAACGTTTCCACTCCCTATTGGACCACATTGTGTCACATGACCCGGAAGCGCTGTGAATCGCGGTTGCTCCGACAACCGTATTTTGTTAAACTTCCACATTTGACGCTGATTTGTCCCCTTTTACTGATTGACTGTGTGTTCTATATCTATATTAATATCTCTATCTAACACACAGTGAATCATATATCTATCTGTTAGTGAAGCATTCATTAACACCGTCAGTGAGGGTCCCGGTGCGGAGAAAGAGCTCCGTACCTCCGACTGTAGTTCAGTATCGCTTCTCGGCCTTTTGGCTAAGATCAAGTGTAGTATCTGTTCTTATCAGTTTAATATCTGATACGTCCCCTACCCGGGGACCATATATTAAATTGATTTTTGGAACTGGGAGATGGAATAGGGGCTTGCTCCGTCCACTCCACGCATCGACCTGGTATTGCAGTACTTCCAGGACCGGTGCACCCCCCCTCTGATTGTCTAATAGTAATCAATATATTTGGATTATAGATGTTTATATTGTCTGAGTCTCAGTAGTGTGTGAATGAGTTGAAGTGTGTCACTATGTTTTGTGCTGGAAGTATTAATACTGAGGGGAAACGTCTCTTTAATATCTGTTGTAATGAAAACTATAAATAAATATAAATACCATGTTATTTCTCCATTGTGGCCTTTCTGTGGGAACGGGAACTACATCGTAACACCATCTGTATTATTGTTGTTGTTTGGCCTCTGAAACAGCATTTTGATAACTTTGGAACAATAAATCAACCATGTGTGGAGCCAGAATCATAACGTAGTTCAGGTTGACCTCTTAAACTGTGATATATAATAATGGATGAGTTAATTCTGAACTGACCTCACTTTCACAGCTCATTTCTGTAAACAAATGTATATCTTTAAATGACTTAATGAATGTTTTCTTATTAAATAAACTCATCTGAAAGTCTGTGTTAATGTTATATAATAATGTTGTAACAGAAGTGCTAATATTTAACAAAATGGAGTGCAAAAAGTAGATTCAAATAACTTAAAATGCTTTATTGATTAAACTACGAAATAACTTCATTTTTTACAAAAGTAGAAACACACATTCAAAGTCACTGCGGAGTCTGTTTGGCACGAAGTTTCTGTAACGTTTTCTGTGAAGAGAAGGTAGAAAAATATCCTCAAATCTCAGTTCAGACAAAGTTAACATAGTTTAAACTGCAGTTCTCTAATAAGCATATCATTTTTATTATATATATTATTATGTTATCTTAAACATTAATAATTGTTTTACCATGTGGAACTCCTTTGCCTTCAGTCTGTTTTTTGCATAAGCCTCCTGTCTGCTCCTGATTGCCTTCTGATGCTTCACCTCCTCCAGCCGCTCGTACAGCCTGTGGGAAACAAATGATTGCATCATTTTGTTTTTAGACTTCAGGTAGAACAGGTACGCAACATTGCCTCCCAGTGGACAGTGCAGAGGTTATTAGGTTAGATAATATTCAAGCAGTACCTCTGAGTTCTCTGGTGCATCTCAGTAACATCTAGTTTCCTTTGCTCCGGTGTGCAGATCTTCATCTCGTCCACTCGTTTCTGCCTGGATTCGCTCACTGAAGGAAACACAGAAAAACACTAGGAGGAGGAACTGATTTATGACATTTACATGAAACATAACAGGTTCTTAGTTTGTTCATATAACACAGATTACAGTAATCTATTTTTCTGACAGTTTATTAATAAATGCTTTCATTCAGTGGGTATAAAAACTAATTTCATTACCTTAACAGAATCTATCCTACAACCTTTTTTATTCTGAAAGGTTAGATGTCCATATAAAAGTTGTTTCTATGAATGCAGCTTAACTGACTTTTTATAGTTTGTGTTGTTTTTCCACCTTTTATACAAATGTATTGTCATTGTACTTGGAAGTGATTTGTGTGTAATACCTGGAGGGGGAAGTTGGGCCTTTTTCTGCTTGATGAAGCCAGATTTCTCTGTAGTTTGTTGCTGCTGAGTCTGTCCTCCTTTTGACTTGGTATTAATCTCATGTTGAGGTTCTGACTTTGTCTTTCCCTTACAGGTGACAGGTTGAGAGCCCTTAGCTTCAGACTGCTCTCTGGCTTCAGGTGGAGCTCGGCTCTCAGGTAGCATCTTGGCAAGAGCCCGTTTGGCCTTGATTTCTTCCACCCTGCGGGATGATCTCTGGAGCAGAGCTCTGCGCTTCTGCTGGTCGACCTCCTGCGAGCCTCTGATAGGACCCCACTGAAACTCCAGGAGCATCGCTGAATGTAAGGAAGGAAAGGATGGAAGGCTTAACAATGAACAAAAGGATGGAATATGTTCTTTGTTCCTGATCACATCCATATTTAAATCAGTTCAGCAATCACAATTCAGCAATCTCACTCAACAGTGTTTTATCAGTTACACAATATTCAGTATGTAACTGATTTTACCTGGATCTGTTTGGTCCTTGTCCTGTGGAGTCTCATCCTGTAACAATGTGGATTCTGACCCCTAGAGAAGACAAGGTTTGTGATCAGAGATCAGAAAGACACCTGCTCCTGAAGTCAAGCCAAAAACTCAACAACAAAAGACACTCACCTCTGCCTCTTGGCCTTTCTGTCCTTCCTCCACCACCACATCTGGATGTTGGTCTTCCCAAACTCCCTCTTCATCAGTGAGGGTTGTCTCTTGGTCCTGCAGCGTGGTGTCGGTGAGGCTCACTAGCGTTATATCCGACTGCTCCAGGATCCCCTTCTCACTAGCAGCTTCCTGATAGACAGGGAGAGATGACAAGCTCATACAAGTTAACATAACATACAAGTTTAAAAAGGTTTAAAAGTGCAGTTGTAGCAGGACAGAAGAACGTACTGTAGTGCTCTGGGTGTTGACCTTTAGAGGCACTGCAATGGTCAGTTAATGTCAAAAAGATTATGCTTTCTTCAAAGTTTACCAAGGTGAACGAGAAAAATAAATCGTACCAGTATCTCCTCTGAGATAGGAACAGCACTCCTCAGGTTTGAACCCCGCTCAGACTCCAGTTCTCCAACACAAAGGTCGCTGAATGGGACTGGATCTCCTACGTGTGTCTGCGGCATGCTCGGAGTAGAAGCATCGTCACACAGGGTTAGATTTGACAGACTCTGAGCGGTTATCTCCACGTCAGACTCATGGGGGTGGTACTGGGAGGTGATGAGCTGGGAGGCAGATTCATGTAAGGCGTGGGAAGCAGTCACGCAGCTGGACGGCTCCTCTGTTCTAAGTCGCTCGGGAGATGGTTCAGACTCAACAGAAGGACCGTCGTGGGTTTCAAACTCTTCAGAAGTTGTGGAGACGCTGCGTTCCCAGCTGGCCGACTGTCCTTCGGGAGAGTTTGGCACATCGTGTACGGGCAGGTGAAAGGTCACGCAGGAGTCTGCTGTATCGTTGTGGGTGACTTCAGCCACTAACGGGTGGAATGAGTCCGAGCTTGGAAACACTAAAAATGGTGAGAATGTACAGTTTATGAAAAATACATTCAAATACAAGATAGCTGACTTAAACATATTTGACTCTTTCCCCCTAAAGTTCCCTAAAATGTTTACCTTTAAACTTTTACTTGCCTTGAGCTACAAACAGGCTATAGATATACATATTGTGCATTATGACAATATACCTCACCTTCAGTCCTCTCGGGGCCCAGGTCCATTAGACTGGTTTGGCTCTGCAGTGTCTGGTCTTGTGCGTGTGGATTCACACCTGGGACAGAAGAACTGTGTGACGAGGCTTCAGGAGGCAACGCTGGGTACGACGGCACGCTGGCCTCAGTCGAAACACCAAGATTCACGTGGGTTCTTTCACCTACAAACAGCAGATTAGTTGACTCATGAGTGCAACAATAAAAAGGTGTGTATGAGCATGTCAAACCTGAGCATAGTGTGCTCACAGAGCAGATTACATATGCTGATATAAACTGGCATTCAGAGCTTTTATTTTAATTAAACTGTATTAATTCCTAAAGAGCTAAGTGATAATGAAGGTTCAAAGACTGGCATCAGTTCATGTTTCACCATAGGACAATGTTTAAACTAGGACTGCAACTAACAGTGCATTTGATTACTTTATTTTTATGTCTCCATTAATTGTTAAACTTGAATAATTTGATGATGGCCACAATGTTTTATTGTTAATCAATAAAAAGTTGGAGTCTATCTTTTATCTCCCAGTAATTTAAAACTTTACTGCCCACATCAGGCACCTCATAGAGTCCTTTTACCTGAGCTTCCACTGTGCTGGCCAGCAGACTCATCCAGCTCCCCAACCAGCGGTCTCATCCGGCTCCCCTCTGGACCTTCCTCCAACCACGTGGTCGACGGCTCCGACGCCATCTGAGCCACCAGCTGACCCGCATAAAAGTCGTGTCCGCCACTCAGCCAGTGTGAGCTGGACTGATGGGAGAGTCGACCGATCATCCGACTCAGAGTGGAATCCCATCCACCTTGATCCAAGCTCACTGAAACCGGCAGACCTGGTAACTGACCAATCAGGGACGAGTGCGCTGATGGTTGACCAACCAGCTGCTCCATGGCCAAGTCCCGATGGTCAGCAGCCAAACAGGAGGACTGGTCTGCCAGCTGGCCAATCAGGGGTCTGAAAGAGTCCTCAGCCAGGGATGGGTCCTCACCTGAGAAGTGCTCCAGGATTGGATTCACTGTATTGTCCCATCCCTATAGTAAAAAAACATTGATTGAATGCTGGGGATTTTACAGCTATATCAAATATTTATAATGGACTTCTGTTTATGACATGAGTTTAAAGTCAGTGGGAAATATGCCTAGAAAAGTTTACAATTCCTTTTGTTGTTAATTATTAACAAGTTAAACTATTTCCCCAAATGACAAAGAATTGTGGGTTGTAGGTCACTGACCAGGCCTCTCCTCTGTGTCCCTGCTGGGTCTGAGGGAAGAGAGTGACGAGCTGTAGAGCTTTCATTGTCCTCTGTCCTCTCCGAGGCTCGAACCAAAGACTGCTGAGGAACTGAAGGGTCAGGTTCATCCACATATGAGCCTTCACTGTCTGCAGATCAACACAGAGGAAATAAGACTTTTCAGCATTTTGTTGGTTTCACATTTTATCCATCTGTAGTCAAATTCATTTTAACTTGGTATTTTCTTTATGACATGTACACACAGACTCACTGAGCTCAGTTCAAGTGTAGAAACCATCATAAAATGTATTTAGATTAAACACACTTTAGGTCCAGTATTTTTACATCATCACTCAGTAAAGAGAAACAAAGACAAACTCACACTTACAGTCACACACATTCACTTACATTTGAAGATTTTATGGCTCTAGTCGGTGTTGGAAGAAGTATTCAGATAATTTACTTAAGTAAAAGTAGCCTACTCATCATTTACTATACTCATTTAATGGCCCCCATTAAGTGGTACGCTGTTATATAATTCATTAAAATAAAAAACACATTAGAACAGATTCTAATTGGGCAGTTTTTAGTTTTTGGCCTTTTAATTTAAAAGCTACTCATACTGTTGCCTTTTGGTAAATGTAATGTAATGTACATACACACAGACTCACTGAGCTCAGTTCAAGTGTAGAAACCATCATTAAATGTATTTAAATTAAATACATTTCAGGTCCAGAAGTTTTGCATCATCGCTCAGTAAAGAGAAACAAACAAACACACACTCAGAATTACACTCTTACACTGAAGAAAGAGGGTATTATTGTGATGAATATGTGTAGTATACCTGTGGTTTTCCCCGTGGTGCTGAGGGAGATGTTAAGCTCCTTTGTGTATTTGTCTATAATGCGCTGGATGCTGCTGTCGTTAAACAGATCGTCTACAGCCGTACCCGACAGACAGCCAGAGCCGTCCTTAATACTGGAGCTTTGACTGGACGGAGAGGAGACACTGAGACAATCTGCTCCTTGTCCTTGTTCCACACAACGTCTGAGGTCCGGAGATTTATCTAATGAAGAAGTTGGATAAGAAGAAGAGAAGAGAGCAGATTTAGGTTAAAACAAAGATGGAAACACTAGCAGCTAGCATGTTATTTGGTGTATATAGAGTATGGGTCCTGTGTACTGTGTCTCATATTGTCACCACATCAATTTACAGCAGCACAGCAGCGACAGGTCCAACTACCTGCAGAACTGAAGCATAATCCAACAAGTCCCACGATAACACCAACAATTTTGAAACACAGATTAATATTTTAATAATAAAGAGCCAGCAAACTGATGTTTGTAAGGAAGGGTGATTTAAATACAGTACAGTTCATTGTTCAGGCGTCTGATCGACTTTCAGACCTTTAAAGGTGATGTTTCTATTGCTGGATTTAACAAGATTCAAACACAATCAACTGAAACAAAGTACGACAAAAGCAGTGTGTGTTGCGCTCCTGCAGTCCCTCACCTGTGTTTACATTCTGCTCAGGATCAGTGGTGACGTAGCTGCCCGTGGAGATGGTGGTGGAGGAGAGACAGTCAAAATCAGGAGGCCTACATGCAGACTGACACATACATACGTACACAAACAAAACAAAAAAGTGTCAAGGAGACCCAGTCACACAGTTTGAGACATACAGTACAGTACACACAAATACACACACACTTATATTTAAAGATTTTATGGCTCAATGCGTTTGGCTTCTTGACAGTGTTGGAAGAAATACTCATATATCATTTAATTAAGTTAAAGTAGCCTCACTGAGCTCAGTTCAAGTGTAGAAACCATCATAAAATGTATTTAGATTAAACACACTTTAGGTCCAATATTTTTACATCATCACTCAGTAAAGAGAAACAAACAAACACAAAGACAAACTCACACTTACAGTCACACACATTCACTTACATTTGAAGATTTTATGGCTCTAGTCGGTGTTGGAAGAAGTATTCAGATCATTTACTTAAGTGAAAGTAGCCTACTCATTATTTACTATACTTATTTAATGGCCCCCATTAAGTGGTATGCTGTTATATAATTCATTAAAATAAAAAACACATTAGAACAGATTCTAATTCTTTTAAGTTTTTGCCCTTTTAATTTAAAAGCTACTCATACTTTTGCCTTTTGGTAAATGTAATGTAATGCACACAGACTCACTGAGCTCAGTTCAAGTGTAGAAACCATCATTAAATGTATTTAAATTAAATACATTTCAGGTCCAGAAGTTTTGCATCATTGCTCAGTATAGAGAAACAAACAAACACATACTCATTACACTCTTACATACACATTCACTCCATACACTCAAGACACATACACACAACAGACACACAGACACAGGAAAAGCTTCTCAAGCATAATCAAAGGCTGAAGCAGATACTGCCCAAGCCCTCAGATTTGGCTAATTTTCATCACCGATCCACAACGTGAACCTCAGAGTGTATTAACACTGTGCCAATATGCAATATCTATTTCTAAAGTACCATTATCTCTGCTCTGGTTACCTCTGTGGGGGATCTGTAGCTTGTGATTGCAGGACCAGAGTAGTCAGCTCCTCTCCCAGAGTCAGAGGAAAGCGGTGACATTATCCTCAGGACTGAATCTGGAAAGAAATGTTCCAAACAAGTTATTATTAGTAGTATTAGTAAATTAAATACTTCCATTTTCCTCCCATCTGTATTATGTATCTCAACATTCTTCACCTGCCCCTCTACATACCAGACTGTGAGGACTCTGGAGATGTTCCAGCCCCCATCAGCCGTCTCTCGTGGTCAGTTAGTCTTTCAACAGTTCGCTGCCCACTGCTGGACCAAGAGGGGGTCTGCAGAGTTGCATCAGAGGCCACAGACGATTCAGATTCCTCCTGTGGATCCCAGTCCGCAGTATGTGAAGGAACCTTCATAGTATCATCCAGGCCTAGAGATAGGAAACATCGACAATCCAAATCAACTGATATTCCTCACCATAAGCTTGACTCATGGTTTAACAGTCTGTTATTCACGTGTTTCTGGTGCTCAGCTGACCTGTGACTTGGCTGGTGTTGCCTGGCGACTCCACCTCTTGAATAGCACTGAGCTCATGTTGTGCAGTCATCAGCTCCATGACGCCCAGCCTGACACGGGTCACCGGAGGCTTTCCTGCTCGAGGAGGATGAAGGAGTGCTGAAGGGAGGACAAACGATGGGGAAGGTCCAGCAGGAACAATGCTCTGAGAGATCGGATCTTAACAGAAAATTTAAAAATTGTTTTGCGTTATTAGAGTAATTTTAAGTGTATGCCATTTAATTTGTGATGGAAGAGCAACACCATCACTTTTCTGCAGTCTAACGTGTCAGTTACCTGTTTCACCACTGTTAGACGCTGGTTGAGGGGAGCCATCGTTCTCCTCAGGGTCTTCTAGGTGTGATAAAGTTCCTCCATTAGTCTCCTCAATAGCTTTCAGCAGGGACGCAAGTAATTTGAGGCGGCTCTGACCGATGTTGTCTGAAACCAACACTTCACTGGCAGCCTCTGGAACTGGCTGCGGCTGAGAAAACACAGCGGGAAAGTTGTTCTCCATGCACTGTAATTAAAACTCGAGTTTTAAATTAAGTTTAAAAACGATTCGTCTACTGTACTGTAACAGAAACACCAGTAAAGCAATAGCCCCGTCACTTACTTGTGCATCAGTATGAATCAGAGCCTGCAAAGCCTCCTTTTGTCGCCTCATCTGCTCCATCTCCACTTCCTGTCTCTTTCTCTCCTCTTCTTGTTGCCTCTGCTGCAGCACTACTGCCTCCCTCTGCTCCAGCACCCGTCTCTTAACCTCCTGAAGCTCCCGTCTCTGAACCTCCTGAAGCTCCCGTCTCTGAACCTCCTGAAGCTCCCGTCGCTGAACCTCCTGAAGCTCCCGTCGCTGAACCTCCTGAAGCTCCCGTCGCTGAACCTCCTGCAGCTCCCGTCGCTGAACCTCCTGAAGCTCCCGTCGCTGAACCTCCTGCAGCTCCCGTCGCTGAACCTCCTGCAGCTCCCGTCGCTGAACCTCCTGCAGCTCCCGTCGCTGAACCTCCTGCAGCTCCCGTCGCTGAACCTCCCGTCGCTGAACCTCCTGCAGCTCCCGTCTCTGCCTCTCCATGTCGTCCTCTCTGGATCTCAGGGACTGCAAAGAGCCCTGTGGCAGGATCCCAGGCCTGACTGCTGCGTGACCCGGAGCCAGAGGTGCACCATCTGTTATTCTCGGGCTAATGACTTGGATGGGATCAGAGGTTGGCTGGAGTGGGATGCTTGTTGGGTGATGTGTTGTGAACTGTTTGTAAGGCACTGGGTCTTTGGTGGCCAGGAAGGGTCTCACGCCTTCTGGAAGGTGCTTTGTTACTCTCTCCATTATGTTATCGGTCAGCCAGGGAGTGACATCTGGTCTCTGGTTCCTGGAACTGTCCGAAATAGATTCCACTTCATCCGGCAGCAATCTAGAGCGAACCCTCAAACTGGAGCCAGGAAGATGCGGAGGTGAAGCCTCTCTTGTGGGAACTTCAGTGGTTTGTGGTTTGGCATGGTTGTATGCAGGCACTGCGGGAGTTGTAGGGAGTTGCAGAGAAGTTGGAAGATGTACAGGTCGAGTACTGTGCAGAGGTGGGTGAATGAGGCCTGGAGGCAGCAACGTTGTGGCGGTCATATTGTAACGAATTTGCAGAGCTCGCTGGTATTCCTCCAGGCGCTGGCGAGCCACTTCCACTGATCTCTGGTGAATTCTGAAATAAAAAGGCAGTCCAACAAAAAATAGTTAAGTCAATTTAAGTTATATAGCACAATATCACAAATGTGCCTGAAGGGGTTCCACAATCTGTACGGCACAAAATCCTCTTAGATTCACACTATATATATGAAGGGTGAATTATTCTGTCACCTGCTGACTTTGTCTTCAGGATTTAAACACACCTGTTTTGTTCCAGCAGTCGCTGTTGATATTCTCGAATCCTTCTGGTGTGGTTATCTTCACCTGGAGGAGGCACCAGCTGTAGAGTGCAGAGGTAACAATTCAAACATACTTTACATAGGATATGTTAAAGGATGACCCAGCAATACCTGTAAATCTGATGGGACTATTGAGAATGGCATATATTTTACCTATTGTTTATTTATTCCCAATCATTTTCAATTTTATTTCGTATTAGTCGCTATTACTACTATTCTATTTTACCCTTATTTTATCTGTAGGCTGTCTTTTGATTCTTAATTGAGGAAAAATAAATAAATTGGAAAAAGTCACTTCAAGCTGGCTTCAAAGTCTCTCAGCCAGTCAAAGATAATTAACACAGACTGATGGATACCGACAAATGTGAGTAGCTATACAAAGATAATATGAGAAAAGGACAACTGAGAATAGCTTTAAAACCTGAAACCACAGGCCTACCTCGGTGGCTAGATCAGAGGTGACGGAGGTGACTTCCTGGTCATGGACCGGTACTTCTGGTTGGTTAACAGGTACTTCCTGGGTCACAGCAGCCTTCAGGTGTTCTCTCTCCTGCTGAGCCTCAAACAGCATCTGCTCCAATTTGGCCTTCTGCTCTTCCAACTCCTGCAGCAAAACCACCTGCTGCTGCTTCTCCCTCTCGAGCTCTTCTTCCTGGACAGAAACAACAAATTAAAAATAAATAAAAAAGGTTTCAAAACATAATATAATCTATCTTGTTCCTGGACCAGGCAAACAGGTATTTCTCAGTTTCTTCCTCCTCCTCCTGTGAAACGCAGTCTTCAGAGGATCACCCCAGCAGCCTTGAGTGAAGCCTTTGTGTTTCTCTGCTGGATGTCCACCAGCCCCCATTATGCTCAACTTCACTCTTTTTTTTTTTCTACCAAAGAAAACAACCAAGTTCTGTAGTTTTATGTTAAAAGCAGAAGAAGTTTGTAATGCAGAGAGAGAAGAGCGTGACGTCTCTTCTGAAAAGGCACGACCACCCTGCTCAACACACAACAACAGAGAGGCTGGACTAATTAAGTAATGAGGAACACCTGGATCAATAGGTTCTGTCTAATCATGAACAGCACATGAAGCCATTTGGATAACGATACAACCAGGTACTGAATTCTTTAAAAAAATGATTCAGTGAACGGAATAAGGAGATTTGTTGGATCAACAATTCTCAACAAAACCAAATTTTAAGCTTTATAAAAATAGGCTGTTGTTTGTAGTATTTGATTGAACAGGTTTAGCTAATTACCGGTACCTTCATGTGACAAAAAACTTTAATTCTTAATTGTCATTAAATGTGATGAAATCCAAAAATACAAGTATAACAGCATATTGCATGTTTCCAGTGAGAGACCGACTTCCTAGTGTCTCAACAATGTTCTTACAATGTGATCTAACAACTGTCTGGATATACAGAAACCTCTGATTACCTCTGTTTACGTGTACAGTGTCGTAAAATGACTCCTGCTCTGTATCATATAAATGGAATCAGCATGTACCCGTTTCCTCCGTTCTTCTGTAAACTCTTGGATTCTGTTGGCAAGTACATCAGGAAGTAGAGTATCTGCCGCAGTTGACCTCTCTGTCCTTTCCAACGCTGGTGGGATTAAATATACAAACAATTCATGTAAGCCAACAACTAAATGTCGATACGTTTTTACTCGTGTATATCTGAGAAACAAAAAACAGGAATAAATCTCAAAAAGGTGAAAAGAATAAACTGTGAAAAAGTTAAGTGGAAAAAGAAAACAAAAAACAGCCGATATTAGGAGCAGATTTTATTTCATCCGATGAGTAAAATGACCTACCAGGTGGTGAGTGGGCAGGCTCAAGGCGCTCAGTGGGGGACAGTTTCTCCTCGCTGGTCAGAGAGCCTGTGTCGATGGTTGTGTCCCGCTCCGGGATCTGATCGGTGATGGCGGTCTGTGAATCGGCTGCAGGAACGTGACTGTTGCTCTCAGTCCACTGGGTCCTCTGGCTCCTGATACGATCCAGGAGTTTCCTCAGCGCTCGTCTAGGAGCAGGTCTGCAGGGCTCCGCTGCAAGTAAAGAATAAAACTGAATGCAGTTCAAGCTTGGTGACGTTGAGTTTCGAGAACAGATAAAGATCAAGATTATAACACAGTGGAACAGTTGGATTGTATTCAGGGCTGATGACTGAAAGACTTGTCCTTGACTGAAGAATTAACATAATTTATATAATATATTTATGTCTGTGTGTTAATGCCAAAGTGTAACCGGCCTTTCTTTTCAACAAATCTTGTAACAACCCTTTAAAAACTGGTTTTAGGTTTTATGTGTATCTGGTGCTTCTCTTCACCTTCAGCAGATGTTTCCTGCTCAGTGATTCTGGCTTCGTGCTCAGTGTCTTCTGTTCCCGGTGTGGGGCCTTCATCCAGTGTGACGTCCAGCTCTTGGTCTTGGCTGCCCGTGGACAGGGCCGGCAGAGGCTCCGGTACCAACTGGACTACCAGGTCACCTTTAACCCCTGGGATCAGACACAGTCAAAGGTTAAAGACGCTCTGACAGCGTGGCACTTTCTGGCTATGGTTTTAAGCTAAGCTACAGTACTGCAGTCCTTACTCCTCTCTCCAGTATACATGTCCTCAAAGGCAAACTCCATCTCCCTCTGGAAGTCCTCCCTTGTCTCCTGTCTCTTACAGAGAGGCTGGAAGATCTGAGGAGGCATCTGTGACACCTGCTGTCTCCTCCTCAGCAGGTCTGTCTGCTGCATGTGCTCCAGTTCAGTAAGCAAGCGGTTGCGATCCTAAAAGACACCATCAGAAACAGGTCAGGCACAAAAACAACAACACACTGATTCAAGACAATTAAACATGTTTAGGGGAAGTGGACTAAAACAAGTAAGCAGCATCAGAGCTATGTGCTAATGTGGGTGTCTAACAGGTAACGTTAAGCTGAACCTGCACGAGATGTTCCCTCCTCAGAGCCTCCTTCCCTCTGAGATGAGCCTTCTCAAGCTGCTCCTCTCTCCTCCTCATTTCTTCCTTCTGTAGCTCCTGCAGTCTCCTCAGCTCCAGCTCAGCTTCTTCGTGGGCGTTGGGCTGTAGACACATACACGGCTCAGACAACTCTGATAGGAAGGGGACTAACAAACTCTGGGGTGAAGTGCAAACAGCAATCAGAGGGCTTACCTGCTTCGTGTCTACCTCTCGGTCCACGGTGCTTTCAGGCATGTGGTAATGCGTGGCAGCGAAGGCACTCACATCAGATTTCTTTACTACTTGTGGCTTCTTGGAATCAATGTTCTGCTTAAACAAGAACAAACGACGTTACCATGACTGCACCCAGAACCTAAACTGTACGACAGGTGTCAAATCATTGTATAATGCACGTTGGCGACTACTGATACATTTAATTTTCTAAAACCTTCACACCAATTTACCAGACTGATTTATTTTAACATAAACTTCAATTTGAGCTATCAGGCCAAGAA